TCTGGAACTAATTAAAGGGATACCAAATCCTTAAAGGGATACCACCCTTGAATTCCTTAAAGGGATAGCACCCTTGGACACAGACTATCAAGATGGTACTGTATAAGTACGTATCAGTGATGGGAGCTTTGAAGGGATATCACTTGGATCAGGGTTCCGGAATCTACAGCAAGACTCTATGTCTGGTAATGGATGCTCAAAGGGATGACCCCTATCACTTAAGACTACCTGTCAGAACACGACAGACGACGGAGCTTAGAGCTAGTGCTATATCCTATTATCCCTCAGAGGTCAGTCACTTTTGTCTCATTACTGCCATATTAGACACTAAAGGGCTTATTACCCTGTGCCTGTCTGGGGTGCTACCCCTATTACCATGCTGCTTTTTGGAGGTCGCCCTGTGGCCACCTCTGTGATCCTGGGCGAGGCCCATTTATACAAATCCCAATATTGTGGTTTGCCCTGCTGGGACAATTTGACAACACTAAGTGACAGATACAGAATACCTTGCCGGGGTTATTACACATTACTGTCATTTATACAGACCCTGCTGGGGTCCACTGGCATTATTTACACTACAAATGATACCCTGCTGGGGTACCCCATATCACACACCCTGCTGGGGTTGTTTTGGTACTTTGAGACAATAAATTGCACACAATAAGTGCACACTACTGAATATCACACACCCTGCTGTTTTTTTTTTTGGTACTTTGAGACAATAAATTGCACACAATAAATTTCACACTACTACACCCTGCTGGGGTCTGCATGGTGCATTGCACACAATGAAATGGACTGTGCTGTCATCCAGTCTGTTTTATTTGGCCGTGACCCACGCTTGACGGGTACATACCCCGCACACCTGAGGTGATCTCTGACTAGGTATAAGCCAATCTATTCGGCAAAAAAGGGGACAGAGTCGCAAGCTTCAGTGCATTAATTATTGATAGAGCTGTAGGACACTCTCTATCAGGCTGATGGTCAGAACTGATGGATTCATACCCTGTGCAACTGGGGTGAGCCCCCTACAGCACTGCTGCTTCTACTCCTACCCCTCTCAACAGCGAGCTTGAGGATTGAAAATCTGAACTTCGAATCTGGGACTGGCACTTACAGGTTCAGACCCAGTGCTCTTGGGGTGAGACCACTACGATAGGCGAGTCACACTACCCGACCGAAGGAAGTCTTACAGCAACAGACTCTACCTACAGCTGAAGCAATACCTCCATTGATAATGAATCATGATACGGTACGGGTTTATGCCCTGTACCTATTCTGCGGCCTGCAGTTAAAGGCCCATGCCCTATGCACCAGGCCCGGCTAGGCGTGCACTGCACTAAAATGCTGAACAGAGGCATGCGGTTACAACCGCTGAACAGGAGTTCCGAGCCGCCTACTTAACGATATATATTCCCCTTGTGGTGAATTTAATAATGGAAGAGGTGACTGACACTCTCTATCAGGGCGATGGCCAGCACTTAAGGGTTCAAACCCTGTGCACCCTGGGTGAGCCCCCAGTATACATGCGCTGCACGGTGCTGCTGAATGGAGGCAATGCTATGGCAACCTCTATGTACTGGGTGAGCCCCAGTCTGTTTTATTTGGCCACAATTTGGAATAAACCCACAAGGGTTTCCATAAACACTGCCTACTGTCATAGTAGACTGATCTGTTAGCCCTGCATCCTGTGCCTGACTACTGGTTTGTGCCTTACACAGGGGTATCCCTTACTACGATAAACCTACTTGACAACATTATGGACTCGTGGCTTTGCAGCCTCTTGCTTAGAATGTCCATATCCGCTGATGGTCGGACAAGCCCATGCCCTTCCATGCCGGTCAGAATGTCTCAGACGACTAGAGTGATCAACGGAGGAGGTCTTTCAGGATTCACTACCTTACCATGGGCGATGCTGGACGCCGCCAAACATTGTCCGGGAACGGGCACACAACTTGGGTATATGGACTCAAAAAACTGTTTCTGTTCCTCGCAGGAAACCCCAGTGTTGGCCTCTCCCATAGGATGCCCATAGCAGCACTCCTCCGCACTGACGGATGGTTGGCAGTACTGGGCGCCAAGATAGTCGGAACCCCAGGCACAAGGCACAAAGTTCAGAAGAGAACTTATTAGACATGCAAGGGTCCCACGGCTTTCATAAGGGCCCAAACCCATAGGAAGGAGGTGGTATGTGATTACCTTTACAAGGGATTCTTTGGAACCAGTTGGCAACAGAGCCACTACCACTGGCTCTATTACCCATATATAGCGAGAGTCAACCAATGGTGCTCCAGATAAGCGGACAGAGAACATGGTATGCACAGATACCATCAATATACCTCCTACTACATCCAAATGAGATTTCACCACATCTAGGTGAAAGGCACTCAATCATTAGGAAGACCACTTTCACGTAGTCAACCGACTTGCGTTCAGGACCTAAAGACACGTCAGGATGGTTTCTTGCTTCCTGCTCGACCACCTTACCCAGTTTTCAGGGGACATCCTCTCCTTCCCGATCCAGTAGTTCGGAGCCTGGTGGGCCCTGATAAACTACCGAAAGAAGTAATGAATACAGGTGGGGAAGACGAGACACTCTCTTCCGGGAGAACCTCATTCAGATCACTCCAGTGAACTGAAAACTCGTCAACATCCACGTTCATCCGAGAACCGGCTGGAACCTCTTGTAGAAGACTATTCGCTCAGAGGATTTGTAGACTATTCCACAACTTGGGAATATTCGTATGACTCTCCCAGCACCGCCGCGACCCTGTACGTTGTATACCTAGACTTCTTGGTCCTATACTTCACAATACATGGATTGATAAAGAAGTATTAGATCGGCTGCACCCTACTGCAGGTAACCACAGATTAGGCGGTCAGGTTTCACATCCACCGCGATGGACCAACTCACGTTTATCAGACAACATGTAGGCTCCTTCGATCCCTGTCTTCTTCACAGAAGATCAACCCGTCTCCCGGGGGAGACACATCTCATAGGGGCCGACTGATTTGGATATTACCACTCATCACAGTATAAGTCTATGGTGATCGCGCTCCGTCCGACCGGACCTCCCCGGAGGATTTATGCTTCTCATGCTTACAAGATCTACTGTAATTCTCGAGCAGACGAGGATCTTCTCCTGCTACATTCATGACAAACAATTCTTCACGGAGCCATAGGGTACTCACATCTTCTATCCCAGGAGGGTCGGCTACCTGGGGACCTGGACCCGCTTTGGAGGTTTCTTGGCAGGTTAGCGGTCGATCGCAGGCTGCCGGGGACCCACACCCTACCCCTACATCTGGACATTCCCAGCCTGTCTGGTTCGGTCCTGCATCTTGATCCCTTATGTGAGGATGGAGACGGAACTGCAGACGGTATCACTACCTGAGGACGCCCAAGGGACTAGGATCCTCTAGGATACCAACTACCCAATATCATACCTCTCCAGCTTATGAGGACGTTCTCCTTTCACTCTACGGGACTAAACATCCTGCTGACAATCAGTCAGACTTGGTCTTGTATAATTTCCCGTTAGATGGTGTATACGTGGGCGCTCAACGGGGAAGACCTCCACACAACGCCGAATACTGGGTCTCTTGGCACACCGTAGGACTCTTATTTAGTTCTATACTCTTTTTTCAGCGTTAAAATTGCAAAATATGAAGCCTCCTGTCATGTGGTAAAATTGAAGATTATGCTAGCTTTAGTGTACTAATAATCTTAATTTTAATAATGACAGGAGGCGAGTATTCCCCCCCCCCCCCTACTTCGCTGCCCACCCTTTCCATTTGTTTGCTTTGCAGATATCAGGTGCTAAGGTAGGTTTGCCTCTCACATTGGTGCTTATATGATATGTTTGTACTTCCATTAATATGGAATCCTCATTAGAGGTCTCATTACAATTACTCAGTTATCAGATTATAGTTACAATATTCTCCAATGGGATGTTAGGTGGTACTTTAATTGGAGTTACCTGTTCGTGACTATGTCTAAACCTGTCACACATTCTCTTTTCAGTATGATTTGTCTCTGAAGATAATTGGCAGTTCACTTGAAACTATTGTAGATTTTATCCTTTGGATTTGTCTCAACCCTGAACTCTTTTTCATTGTTCATATAGAATTCTTTGAACATTTGCTCCTTTACACATGGGAACTTATTATTAATTTTATTGTTATATTTATATTTTGCTATATATTTACTTCTGCTTGTTGTCACTTTCTGAACGAGGAAATTATAAGGTCACATTGCCTTGTGTACATCCTGCTCTCCTGTGATTGGTTCTTTTTTCTATGTACAAGCAAACCCTTGTGGTTATGAGAAGGGGAAAATAAAATGAATATAAATTACCCCGTATAAATAGGAAGTTCGAAGACTCCTCAATGTCTTCTAAACCATAAATATAGAACAATATAAAAAATGCACAACCTAAAAATATAAAAACAAAGGGAGACCGCAATAGTGTAGATAAAAAACTAATGATAAAATATAAAAAAAAACTAAAATGTACTCACAAACGTAAGGATAAAAAAGGCGGGGAATACAAAATCTCTTCAAGTGCTTCTTTTCTTCTGCTATTCCAGAATGGAAGCTTAGGACAAAGCACAGAAACAAAACATAGTGTATAGCTGTATAAGTAAAAGGATAACTTTATTGTATGCACTTACAAAATAAAAGTAGTAAAAAGGCTCATCAAATCACTCGACGTCTTCCCAGTCAATAACCATCAGGGTTTGGAGACGAGGTAGATAATAGAGTCCACAATAAAATAGCAATCAATTGTAGAAATCCTGCCACCCTATGCGTTTCGTCTTAATGACTTCGTCAGGGGCGTGTGGCAACAATACATACACAATACACAAAACACAAATTTTAAATACCCGCTAAAAATCCATTACCGGTTGTGTAGCCAATCCGAATCAAGTCTCAAAATTAATCCACCTGTAAAAAATCACGTCCATTATCTTCATTTGACTTTAGCGCTTCGTTTCCGATGTTTGCGTCTCAAGTCTCGTTCTCAAACGCTAGCCGAAAGAGGCTGCGTATCGATGTTGGAACGCACATGCGTTCCACTCCGTCTTCATCTCCGAAACCCGGAAGCAGCAACAAAAGATTTAATTCAGTGTTTGGAACGCTTATGCGCTCCATTGGTTTAGTAGAAAGTTCCATCATGGAGAAAAAGCAATGAACATAGAATGAAACCATAATGTTAGATCAATAAAATATAATACATAAAAAATTAATACAAATGATTACTAAAAATTAAGAGTAATATAAAAATAGGTCCAAAACCACTTCAAAAAAACACTTCAGAAACAGGAATAAAAATGACAGAAAACAGATCATATCAAAATCTACATTCATGCAGTCAGGTTGCATTGTTTTTAAAGTATAAATCCAGTAACCTTCTCTCTGTCTAAGTTTAAGTACCAGGTCACCTCCTCTTTCATCCAAAGACACTTTTTCAATCCCAATACATGAGAAAGTATTGGGGTTGAAATTTTGACATCTGTTACAATGAACAGGAACTGAGTGGGTTAATAGTTTTTTCTTAATATTATTGGAATGTTCTAACAGTCTCTTTTTTAGTGGTCTAGTTGTCCGACCAACATATTGAGTTCCACAACCACAAGTCAAAAGGTATACCACATGTGTAGAATTACATGTGATATGTTCCTTAATTTTAAATTTCTTTTTAGTTTTTGAACTAAAAAAATAATGAACTTTCTGGCTCTTGAAGTGACAACTTTTACAAGATCCACATGTATAGAAACCCTTGTTTTTATAACTTTCTTGTTTTTCCCTGTTTCTTAAAGTGCTCGGTGCCAAAACATTTTTGAAAATCTTCCCTTTCCTAAAAATAATTTGTGGGACAGGAGGGAGTTCTGTCTTTAAAAAAATCGTCCTCCAACAAAAGGGGCCAATGTTTATTTAATATTTTCCTTATTTTATTGGCATGAACGTTATATTGGGTGTTAAAAGAAAAAGCGAATTTATTATTAACCAACGGAACTCATTTTTCCTTATTGAGTAAAAGATCTCCTCTCTTCTTATTGTAAGAACACATAATTTCTTTGTTTATAAAACTATTCCAATAACCTTTTTTTATAAACTTATTTTTTAAAATTGAGGCCTGATCTAAAAAAGTATCCTCGTCTGTACAATTCCTCCTTGTAAATTGACTCCGCGGAACACCCTGGAGCCAATTTGGGTGATGATTACTCTCTGTATTAATATAACTATTTGCCTGGGTTTAAAAAAAGTTTTAGTCTTAATCCTAGCATCCTCAATAAAAATTGTGAGGTCTAAAAAATGTATTACATTATGGCTAAAAACCAGAGAAAAGATTAAAAAGAATTGATTGTGATTGATATAATTAATAAAATCCATTAAAATGGCCTCTGAACCATTCCATATAAGGAGAACGTCATCTATATATCTTCTCCAAAGTACCAAGTTCGCACCAAAAGGATTATTCGTCCAAATAAAATTCTTCTCCCAATGATCTAAAAAAATATTAGCGTAACTCGGCGCGAACTTGGTACCCATAGATGTTCCCTGTAGTTCAGCTTGGTTAAAAGAAAATAAATTGTGAGTAAGAATAAAATGAATACTATCTAATAAAAAAAACACTAACATTTGGAGATATCTCAGAGTCTGAATCTAGTGCTGATTTAACTGCGGCAAGCCCTAAATCATGTCGAATAATCGTGTACAGTGATGTAACATCTACTGTAACCCAGATAAAATCTTTCTTCCATTCCAAACATTCCATTTCTTGTAACAAACTTTTGGTATCTTTAAGATAGGATCTAGCACCCTGGGCATATCTTTGGAGATGGAAGTCTATAAACTCACAGGAATGAGATTTACCCCCATGATGGCATATCATGTGCAAAAGTAGACAACCCAAGGTATTGCAGGTGGGGTATGTACAGTCTTTTTTAGTAGCCACTTAGTCACACTTAGTCACAAACACTGGCCAAAGTTAGCCTTGATATTTGTTTTTGTGTGAAAAAAGCAAAAAAAATGATATTTGGCCAGTGTTTGTGGCTACTAAAAATTACTGGACATACCCCATTTGAAATACCTTGGGTTGTCTCCTTTTGCAAATGGTATGCCATCATGGGGGTAATTCTCATTCCTGGGCTACCATACGGTCTCAAAGGCAACATAACCAATCTGGCAAATTTCAATGGGAAAAAAATTAAATGCACACCTTATATTTTGTCTCTCTAACTTTCCAAAACACCATAAAACCTGTACATGGGGGGTACTGTTAAACTTGGGAGACTTAAATGAACACAAACATTAGTGTTTCAAAATGGTAAAACGTATCACAAGAATGATATAGTCACTGAAAGTGCCGTCTGTGTGTGAAAAATGTCACTTTCACTGACAATATAATCGCTGTGATATGTTTTGCTGTTTTGAAACACTAATACTTGTGCTTTATTACATAAATATGCACGTAGAATTTAAATATATATACACATTTATATATTTGAAGTCTACGTGTATATTTATGAAATGATTTATGTAATTATGTACATGGATATATATATGTATATATATATAGAAATCATATTATTGTTATATATACATATATATATATATATATGTTTATTCTAAGTGTATTTTGATATACATATATACACTTAGTATGACATTGTATATAAGATAGATATACATATTATATACATATATATATTATATATAGTCCTCCTGCAGGCAGCACTATGGATGCCTATTTCGGTCATGTGATCACTCAGAGTGATCACATGGCCCACGGGGGCCTAATTTGCAGAGGAGGGACTGTCTGAGCTGTAAGGCAGTCCCCCCAGACTGGGAGCAACACCGATCGCCGGCGGGAGAACGGCTGCAATCTGGTAAGTAATATATTTGCTGCGGACATACTAGGTACGTCCACGGTCCTTAGGGACCATTTTTGTCAGGCGTACTTAGTACGTCCGCGGTCCTTAAGGAGTTAAACAAGAAAAATGCAGCTTGTATGAGCATAAAAACTCAACACCAATATTGTAAATCTATGAGTGTGTGGTGAGCGTAACCTCGCCACTGGTTCTTGGAGGGGCCTGTTTTCCAGCCTCCTGCCCTGTGACTATGGCTCATGTACTAGACTTTGTTTTAAAACACTGTTTGTGCCTTTTTGGACTTGGACAGTAGCGTTTCGAACTCCCGTAGTAGTTCAAAGCGGCACTTCGAACTATTGAAGCCATTCGAATCGGCATTCGAACACGTGGAGGCGGCCATTTTGTTTAGTCGGCCGCATCCACTGGCGTTTGGTCATCAAGTGCATGGAAATCAAATTGGACACTCGATGGCACGAACATCGCTAAATTCTTACCTTCCATGGATGTTCAGCTATTCGAACAGGAGTCGAACAGCGTTCGGTAAGATTAAACTCCCGAAGGAGAGACATAGACTAAGTGCCATCAGAACTCTCTACGTTCGATATTTTGGACGTTACTTCGAATCCCCGAAGTAGACCGACCACACAGCCTAATTCTCTGGAACTGTTTTGGGCATGTGTGTGGTCGGTTAAAATATAACTTCCAGGGAATTCCTGAACCCCTGAACTGATCTGAGTGATTTTTGGATATGTTGGTCACCCAGATCAGAGCTATCAGGGGATATTATTGTTTTTGGGGTACTTTTGTGACTAGAAATGTGTGTTTTTTCTGCCTGGAGATAATTGCGTCAATACAGTATCTGACTCAATTATCTCCCAGGCAGAGGGGAGGGATTGTATGCTATGTGTGGGAGTGTTGTGCATTGGAATACCGTTCTTATTGGTCTATGAATATTGTCACTCAGTTCCCCACAAGGTCCATGTGGGCATACCCCTTGCATGGGGATTGTCATATAAGGCCAAGTGTGGCACCATTATAATCAGTTCCTCCTCACCCTTAACATAGAGTCTCATCTCATGTGTGGAGGAGACAACTATATTCACACTGGGAATTGCTATACTCCTTATGTGACAAACTCCCTTTTTCAAGTGAGTTTGCCACGAGCTCCTGGAGGAGCCTGCTTGCCAGCCTCCTGCCCACAGACTATGGCCCTGCAGGGAAACCTGTAAAAGACTGACAAACTTGACTGACTGTTAGCACTGATTTCCCTGGAATGGGTTTGGGCATGGGGCCATGCTTGCAGTCGTTCAAAACTATGACTTCCAGGAAATTCTGATTGATTTATGTCCTTTGTGTTCCTGTGCCCCATCAGGTCCAGGGGTTGTTCCTCTGGCCTGGAAAATTGTATAAAAGGCCAGTGTGTCCCATTAAACTGGAGATTCCTGCTTACACCAAAACTGTGTGTTGTCCAGTTGTTGGAGGGAAAGAAGATTTGCTCCTGTGTCTTCTGTTCCAGCTTGCAGGAGATTCAAAGGGGGAAGTCCTTGTAAGGACTAGAGCTAATTCCCCATTCGGTTCCAGAGTTCCCAGGACTGAGTGTCGTCCAGTGCCTGGAGGTGTCAGAGCTAATTCTCCCTTCGGATCCAGGAAGGAGGTGGCGGTTCCTTCGGATCAAGGAAGGAGGCGGCGACTGAGGGCAAGAAGTGCTGTGGTTTGTCCCCTGTTCCAGCTAGGAAGTGGTCCTTTGGTGGAGGTACCCAGTCAGGGGATCCTGGTGATCCGTTACACCTTATACTTCCCTGCGTTCTAATCACTAGCTCTTCTAAGAGCTGTTCCTGCTACGCTCTCTGAAGTAGTAGAGGTTAACCCACTGGAAGCTGGATCCTGGTCTTGGGTTCAGGGTGGGTAGAGGACAGCGAGACCCCAACCAACCTGCAGCGGTTTGTGGGGTCAACAGTGTTTATGGTGTCTGGTGGAGTGCTTGGAGACCTCGGTGAGCACTAGGAGCATCGATTGAAGGAGGCCAGGTGGTCCATCACAAAGTGTATCTGAGATCCACAGAGACAAAAATCTCAGTGATGTGTAGAGCATAAAAATTTGCAGATCTGCACCATGTGATTGCACCAAGCAATTGGGTGTGAGCTTTTAAAAATGGGACTCTTTACCTGGACATTAATTGCTGACTGAAGAACGTGAACCAGCAACATGCATTTTAGCAGAATTTATCTTGCTTATATTTTGTGCATAGGCATTTAGCACTATTGTTCTCTCTTTCTGTTTTTTGCCCTGAGAGTTGAAAATTATCCACATTTATCTG